GGACGTGCCCTTGGGCAGCCCACCGCGCGCAGGTTGGAGTCAGGGAGGCTCGGGAAGAAGTGAGCGCAGAGATTTCCACCAGCTAGAGAAATCGGATTAAAAAGAAATAGGAAAAGCAATCCAAGCAGCCGCTGGAGCCCGGCAGTTTAGAAGACACCCCCACCCGCACTAGGAGGACGACTGTGACACGCGCCCGCGAAGACAAGGCGCTCCTGGGCGGCCGTGGGTCTGCACGGAGGAGCCGCCTCCCCCGCGTGGGGCATGCGTTCAGTCGCCAACGGCGGCGGCCAGACACCGAGATGCAGCGCGCAGCCCCTGGACCGTCCCGGCCGGGGAAACTCCGGGGCGGTGCTGCGCGCCGCTGACCCAGCGCGGGTGTGACGGGTGTGCCCGGGCCCCGCCCGCCTCCGCCCCCTCCCGCGTCCGCCGCGCGTCCCTCCCCGCGGCGGCGGCGGCGCTTCCAGGGGCGGCGCGGAGCGGCTCGCCCAGCCGCCAGTGCCTGCGAGCTCCAGGCTGCTCGGGGAATTCACTTTGCCGCTTTTACGCTTCATCCCTCTGCAGGCTTCTTCTGATGGCGATCGGTCTCCGGCCCTAGCCTTTCTTTTAAAAGGAAAACTTTACCGCCGTTTCTCTTACCCCCTTGGAGGAGAGGATTAAAAGTTCCAACACAACTGGTGCCGCCCGGGCGCCGGGACGGTGTTTGCCTGCGGGGTTCCGGTCCCACCATGTGCACCAACATAGTTTACGAGTGGTTGAGAGCGCTGCAGCTCCCGCAGTACGCGGAGTCCTTCGTGGATAACGGCTACGATGACCTGGAGGTGTGCAAGCAGATCGGGGACCCGGACCTGGACGCCATCGGGGTGCTGGCGCCCGCGCACCGCCGCCGCGTCCTGGAGGCCGTGCGCCGGCTGCGGGAGCAGGACGCCGCCGCTGCCGGCCTCTACTTCACGCTGGAGCCACAGCCGCCACCCGCGCCTCCCGGGCCGCCCGCGGTCGCCCTCTCCACCGGCCGCCGGGGGGAGCCGTCCGGCGGCCCGGCCCAGGGCATCCGCGGAGACCCCCGTAGCCTGATGACCGCCCCCCGCAGCAGGGAGCTGGTGAGCTACCCCAGGCTGAAGCTGAAGATCATGATTAGGGATAAGCTCGTTCGCGACGGCATCCACCTGAGCAAGCCCCCGTACTCCTGCAAGGTAAGGAGGCGCCGCCCGGGTGGTGCGGGGCGCGCAGCGGTAGGGGACGCGCCCTAGACGCTTCAGCCCAGGCTCCGCAGCCCATGCTAGGTGACGCGGGGAGGCAAGGATGCTTTGGGTATTTGGGATTCTCTCCTATGTTCTTTCTGTATTCGCTCCTCGTTCCTTTCTTCCTGGTGTCACCAGAAGTTGGTAAGACAGGATCTCGGCCCCAGATGTTAATTCTAAAGTAGGACCAAGTCTCGGTGTAATTTCCGGTGCCCACCTGTCAGGAGCTGGACTGACGGTGCTGCTCTAGAAGCAAAGGGCAAGTCCTGGTATCCTCGGTGGTAGGATTGGGGTCTGGAGATGCCGGGAGAATGGTTAATATCTACATTATCTCCGGCCTTCCCTTTTCTCATTCTTTTCCTTTTTGAGAAACTCCCAAGGCAAATTGGCGAACTCTTGAAAGAGTGGGAAATCACACCCGGCTGTTCGCCAATTCCGTAAAGTCAAATCCCAGCACGGATTCACTTTTGAAAAGTGAACCAGGGACACGGGCATTCTAGGGGGAAAAGTTAGCAAAACATGGCAGTCAACTTGGAATAAGTTTCTCCAGCTTAAATATAGGGAGGTAATAGGTGCCGAAGGCTCTGGATATAAATGGGGTCACTACCGGTGTGCCGCCCAAGTCCGGTGCTGAATCACCAGTTTGGTTTAGAATTAATCCTGAAGAGATGAAGTAGGTACAACCGTGACTTTTACAAAGACGAAGTGGCCTTGCATTTCCAACACTAGGACACAGCACAAGGAAGTGAGCTTTTCAGTCACCCGGGAGGAATTCCCTGGGGAGGGAGCCTG